TTTAAAGAGACGTGCACGTTAGAATCTTCTCAGGTGGATTATTTCTGTGCTCAGATATTGACTGATTGTGAGAGAAATACAACCGGCACACATTACCAGAAAATAATAAATCACTCGGGGACGAAATAGTTTCAACTCCTATGTCTCGATTAACTGACTTCAGTGCGCCAGCGACTGTGAAAGCTTGATGCACTGGTCAGCGGATTCACTCACAGGAAAGTTACAATTAAGCGAAGGAAAATTCCCGCCCTACCAGTCTTACAACTTGGTAAAGTTTCTTTCCTAAATTAAAAATACGCGTCAGTACAGTTTGTCCATGACTCACGATTGATTCATCCTTTTATGAAAACTGAACTAATTAAGCCAATTACTTGGCTGAGTATGCGTCCCTTGCTGACCCTTACTGTACTAAATAGTTCTTGATGAAAAGAGCCGTATTTAGAACTAGACAACGCTAATTGATCGTGAGGTATCAAGGTCAGTCAAACTTTCAAATAAATGCTGGAGCCGTACCAAAATAACTGTCTTGAATATCTCTCGCAAATATGTACTTGATTGATAACTTAATTGAAAGTAACTTTCGCGACATTCGTCTCAAGGAGCCATTATTTTATTTTATTTTTTTTCCTTTCAAAGCAAAAATAGAACAAATTTTGTGCGAAAATGGTATTTTGTCGTCAAAATTCCTTGATTTTGTTGGCTTTTTTTTATGTTTCGGGGAGGCGGCGAGTAATCCGTCGCAGATCTTTAACAGACCTACACAGCCTTGCAAAGTAGAAAAATTAAATCGAACAACAACAACAAAAATAATATAGGTGCTAGGGCTACCTCTCTGTTAATATTATCGTAGTCATTTGTTGGTTTTTCACAGCCATGTCACGTTGATGAAAGGTAAGTAGTTTTAGTCAACTTTTCAACCCTATCAGCCCAGTTCTGGTATCTGTTCCATCCGGGTTTTTCGTTAAAATTCAACCGAAACATAAGTAAACCGACATGAATAACAAACAGTGGTTATGGTGCAAAGCTGGTGACTGGATAAACAACTTGGCTGGCAAGGAGTTCCTTTTTTCAATAACGAGAACAGAAAGTTTGATACTTTTCAATAGCATTAAAAAAGAATAATAAAACATAGGTCTGCAATGCGTGCATGAATGGGCTGTGTTAATTTTTGGCAGCTCAAGGCAGGGGAATTAATGTAAATTGGAAACGGGGTCTTTTTTTTCTGGAAAGGATAATCGTTCATTTTGTTCTTCGTTTGTTGGTTAGTTAGTTTGCTTAAGTAATTCTATCTGGATTATTTGAACTGCCTAAAATAAATTATTACCAAATCATTAATGCTGTTATTTTTAGGTCATTTTAACTTCAGTAGGAGTAAATGGCACGCGCACTGCCGTGATTAACATTACATAACAACGCATGTCGAAAAAAGCTATGATTTTAAACTTGACGTTTCATGTGCCACCACTTACATCTTCAGAAGAGACCAAGCAAAGTAAATTTGAATGTCAAAACGGAAAACTGGTAAACAGTCAGGAAAAGGAAATAAAAAATAAATAAGTAAATAAATCCTTATCATTTACGTTATCGTCAGTTACAACATGTTTTGTGATGCTCTGTAAACTGATATTTCGTACAGTTAGATTGATAACTGTGGCACCTAAAAGACAAACTTTCAAAGTAAGCAACATCTAATCAACACGAGGCTTAGGAAACTAACCAAATCAAATACTGCTGCAAGGCCAACATATCACGTGAATGGCGTTTATTTATAGATCGTGCATTTCGCGGCTGGTTTCTGATTGGCAATATGGATATTCAATACTTCCATCAGGCCAAACTCTTGAATAACGGGAAATGGAAATAAACAGCACATTGTTCGTAAAACGTTTGATATATCAAACATATGCAGCTGAGTTGGTCAGAGAGAAATATCATGAAAATTGCAGTTAGAGCGATGATTGTAGGCTCCCGGGGAAATAAACCTCAAAAGTAGCCAGACTGGCAGGCCGCCAGAGGGAACTCAGGTTATGGTATATCAAAGGTATCGATAAATCCACTCTTGGCAAGGATTCGTCGGTTCCTTTGATGTACCACGATCCGAGTGTTTGTGAATCATTAATCCTGACCAGGATCATCCCAAAGGAACGCAGCTTGAATTGGGTGGTGAATGACGTATAAATCTTGCATGCCAAGACATGTGAACTTCTTCTATAACAAGCTCGAAATCAGAAATATCCTGGAAGGAGGAGCGCTCGCTGCAACGACCTCTGCATCTTGTTATTACTCAAGATGTTGAGCAAGGAAGTGGAAAAGACGCACCGGGTAAAGCTCGTCACTTCCATGCTTTTCCTAGTCCTTGCATTTCACACTTTTGAGGTTCATGGAATATTTTTTCCTAATGGACTCGTGAGAAATGGGTATGTACTTAATCTGTAATTAAAAAGCACTCGAACATCAAAAGTTTTAGGATGCAATCTATATTCACTCCACTAGTCTTGTAATAGTTATAGTTTTCCTTTTATTGTTCTGTTAGCGGCTATTCTAGTGTTTGTCTTATTTCAAACGTTTTGTCCTCGCTGCATAACTGCATGTTCCTGGATAAATCAGCGTTACGTCCTGTCGAAGAAACCTGAAACCGTAAAGGTTTTTCAATCCGTTTGATTTTTATCGCTACAATGTTAGGATTACCCTACAGTCATTATGCCGCCTCTTCATAAGAATTAGAGCTATTTCTTGTGTACATGCAAAAACGACACAGAAACTCAAGTCTAAAAGCGTGCTCAGATAGACAACAATGCAAGGGAAATCACTCCAACTGAGGTCAGTACTTGAACATTGAGCACCAAATGACAAGGACCTAGCTGCGGTAGACAGAGATCAGTATTGAGCTTTGAACAAGTTATGTTAATGTCGAAAGAATTTCAGCTCCACAACAAACGGTAATTATGTTTAAGAGCAAATGTCCCGCCTAAAAAATCAAACAAAATCAAATTTCTTCGGCAAGGCTAGAAAACTCAAATTTGCTCGTCTTTTGCATATAGCTAGCTCCTAGCAAGAATGCAAACAGGATGTAGTTTTTTTCCTGGAAATAGTTTTGCCTTTCCAAAAAAACCATATTTTCGCTTTAACCTTAAGACTCAATTCCGGGAGTCCAAACTGGGCTAAAAATCAACCATTTCCATTCGATTCGCATTTCGCAACTGTTGAGCACAGAAAAGTTGTAATACAACCAGCTTATTGCAGAACTATTCCTTGGCTAAAAAAGCACAATTTCAAGAATATTGGATTAATCTCATTATTTGGCGGTAAACAACACCAGAGTGTTCTCCAATGTTGAGTTAGTCAGTCGTTGAATGGAATTGTCATTTTGACCATGAACCATATCTCGGAATTCCAAAAGATTTGAGATTCTAACTATGTTAGGATAGGTCTTTCAATATAGGTAAAGTTTAGTTTGGGCAAAGGATAAGGCACTCGTCAAAATTTAAAAATACGCGTCAGTACAGTTTGTCCATGACTCACGATTGATTCATCCTTTTATGAAAACTGAACTAATTAAGCCAATTACTTGGCTGAGTATGCGTCCCTTGCTGACCCTTACTGTACTAAATAGTTCTTGATGAAAAGAGCCGTATTTAGAACTAGACAACGCTAATTGATCGTGAGGTATCAAGGTCAGTCAAACTTTCAAATAAATGCTGGAGCCGTACCAAAATAACTGTCTTGAATATCTCTCGCAAATATGTACTTGATTGATAACTTAATTGAAAGTAACTTTCGCGACATTCGTCTCAAGGAGCCATTATTTTATTTTATTTTTTTTCCTTTCAAAGCAAAAATAGAACAAATTTTGTGCGAAAATGGTATTTTGTCGTCAAAATTCCTTGATTTTGTTGGCTTTTTTTTATGTTTCGGGGAGGCGGCGAGTAATCCGTCGCAGATCTTTAACAGACCTACACAGCCTTGCAAAGTAGAAAAATTAAATCGAACAACAACAACAAAAATAATATAGGTGCTAGGGCTACCTCTCTGTTAATATTATCGTAGTCATTTGTTGGTTTTTCACAGCCATGTCACGTTGATGAAAGGTAAGTAGTTTTAGTCAACTTTTCAACCCTATCAGCCCAGTTCTGGTATCTGTTCCATCCGGGTTTTTCGTTAAAATTCAACCGAAACATAAGTAAACCGACATGAATAACAAACAGTGGTTATGGTGCAAAGCTGGTGACTGGATAAACAACTTGGCTGGCAAGGAGTTCCTTTTTTCAATAACGAGAACAGAAAGTTTGATACTTTTCAATAGCATTAAAAAAGAATAATAAAACATAGGTCTGCAATGCGTGCATGAATGGGCTGTGTTAATTTTTGGCAGCTCAAGGCAGGGGAATTAATGTAAATTGGAAACGGGGTCTTTTTTTTCTGGAAAGGATAATCGTTCATTTTGTTCTTCGTTTGTTGGTTAGTTAGTTTGCTTAAGTAATTCTATCTGGATTATTTGAACTGCCTAAAATAAATTATTACCAAATCATTAATGCTGTTATTTTTAGGTCATTTTAACTTCAGTAGGAGTAAATGGCACGCGCACTGCCGTGATTAACATTACATAACAACGCATGTCGAAAAAAGCTATGATTTTAAACTTGACGTTTCATGTGCCACCACTTACATCTTCAGAAGAGACCAAGCAAAGTAAATTTGAATGTCAAAACGGAAAACTGGTAAACAGTCAGGAAAAGGAAATAAAAAATAAATAAGTAAATAAATCCTTATCATTTACGTTATCGTCAGTTACAACATGTTTTGTGATGCTCTGTAAACTGATATTTCGTACAGTTAGATTGATAACTGTGGCACCTAAAAGACAAACTTTCAAAGTAAGCAACATCTAATCAACACGAGGCTTAGGAAACTAACCAAATCAAATACTGCTGCAAGGCCAACATATCACGTGAATGGCGTTTATTTATAGATCGTGCATTTCGCGGCTGGTTTCTGATTGGCAATATGGATATTCAATACTTCCATCAGGCCAAACTCTTGAATAACGGGAAATGGAAATAAACAGCACATTGTTCGTAAAACGTTTGATATATCAAACATATGCAGCTGAGTTGGTCAGAGAGAAATATCATGAAAATTGCAGTTAGAGCGATGATTGTAGGCTCCCGGGGAAATAAACCTCAAAAGTAGCCAGACTGGCAGGCCGCCAGAGGGAACTCAGGTTATGGTATATCAAAGGTATCGATAAATCCACTCTTGGCAAGGATTCGTCGGTTCCTTTGATGTACCACGATCCGAGTGTTTGTGAATCATTAATCCTGACCAGGATCATCCCAAAGGAACGCAGCTTGAATTGGGTGGTGAATGACGTATAAATCTTGCATGCCAAGACATGTGAACTTCTTCTATAACAAGCTCGAAATCAGAAATATCCTGGAAGGAGGAGCGCTCGCTGCAACGACCTCTGCATCTTGTTATTACTCAAGATGTTGAGCAAGGAAGTGGAAAAGACGCACCGGGTAAAGCTCGTCACTTCCATGCTTTTCCTAGTCCTTGCATTTCACACTTTTGAGGTTCATGGAATATTTTTTCCTAATGGACTCGTGAGAAATGGGTATGTACTTAATCTGTAATTAAAAAGCACTCGAACATCAAAAGTTTTAGGATGCAATCTATATTCACTCCACTAGTCTTGTAATAGTTATAGTTTTCCTTTTATTGTTCTGTTAGCGGCTATTCTAGTGTTTGTCTTATTTCAAACGTTTTGTCCTCGCTGCATAACTGCATGTTCCTGGATAAATCAGCGTTACGTCCTGTCGAAGAAACCTGAAACCGTAAAGGTTTTTCAATCCGTTTGATTTTTATCGCTACAATGTTAGGATTACCCTACAGTCATTATGCCGCCTCTTCATAAGAATTAGAGCTATTTCTTGTGTACATGCAAAAACGACACAGAAACTCAAGTCTAAAAGCGTGCTCAGATAGACAACAATGCAAGGGAAATCACTCCAACTGAGGTCAGTACTTGAACATTGAGCACCAAATGACAAGGACCTAGCTGCGGTAGACAGAGATCAGTATTGAGCTTTGAACAAGTTATGTTAATGTCGAAAGAATTTCAGCTCCACAACAAACGGTAATTATGTTTAAGAGCAAATGTCCCGCCTAAAAAATCAAACAAAATCAAATTTCTTCGGCAAGGCTAGAAAACTCAAATTTGCTCGTCTTTTGCATATAGCTAGCTCCTAGCAAGAATGCAAACAGGATGTAGTTTTTTTCCTGGAAATAGTTTTGCCTTTCCAAAAAAACCATATTTTCGCTTTAACCTTAAGACTCAATTCCGGGAGTCCAAACTGGGCTAAAAATCAACCATTTCCATTCGATTCGCATTTCGCAACTGTTGAGCACAGAAAAGTTGTAATACAACCAGCTTATTGCAGAACTATTCCTTGGCTAAAAAAGCACAATTTCAAGAATATTGGATTAATCTCATTATTTGGCGGTAAACAACACCAGAGTGTTCTCCAATGTTGAGTTAGTCAGTCGTTGAATGGAATTGTCATTTTGACCATGAACCATATCTCGGAATTCCAAAAGATTTGAGATTCTAACTATGTTAGGATAGGTCTTTCAATATAGGTAAAGTTTAGTTTGGGCAAAGGATAAGGCACTCGTCAAAACATTATGCAAAATCGTTCACAATTAAAAGACACAAAATTACGCTAGCAGCTACCGAATGCGTCAGCAAAAGTACTAGTCACTGTATCGGCATATTACTTCAGTTCGAAACGTCATCATTACCAGCCATAAATAACATAAAAATGTTCACCTACTTCGGTTTGTAATATCCTGAATCTTGCAAACTGAGTCTTTCCCTGCATATTTTCAGCGTCGTTTTCACGGTCAGTGCTCAAATCCGACTTTGAAGAAAACCAGTTACTGGCATCATTAATCTGTGCTATTTGTGTCGTTTGATTTAGTCCGTAGTAACCACCGAAGCGTTGTTCAGTATGCGACTTTCGGTGTTCCATTTTGAAGACGTTTGAAAGACCTCCATGTTGACTGAAGATGTGTTATGCGTAACACACTGTTTAGATTGTTTACACGGGGGTGAGGGTCAGGTTTTCATAGATTTTAAAAGAGTTAATTTTCTTTGTTTGAATTTTAGACCAGAAAAAACTGCTTAGTGTGTGGCATTTTATCGCTTTACGTATGAAAGGAGGCGCTGAATTGGACCTAACAACGAGATTTTGGAAAAATTCTAACGTTAATAACCACTCCGCCCATACCCTGTGCGCAAACAATTTTGCTGGACAACATGCAAGACGCGGAGCGATCGAAGATGGTGGCTTACTGCCAACGAGTCAGGCGAGCGAAAACCCGAGCCTGACGAGGCAGCAGTATATAGAGCCGTATGTACGTAGTTGAGATGACGTACTTTGAAGGTTATGCAGTCTGGAATTATTAGAAAAATTCCACGGAATAACTCATTTAATTCTTTTTAAAACAGTAGATCTTTCTGAGTAGAGTTCTGAGATAGAAACAAACTTCAGACCAAACAAATATTACTATAATAGCATTGTGCCTAGATACCCGGCAGCCGTGAAATGTTTTCAAAACCTAGATCCGTGCGGTCTGAAATTAATTCCACGGAATAACTCATTTAATTCTTCTTAGAACAGTAGATCTTTGTTTAGCAAGGCCAAGCGATTCCAAGTGTTATTTTAGCTTTGTAGTTGTTGAAACATACTATAAAAAGTTCTGTGTTCTGACTTCGGAGTCAACTCTTATAGAATAACTTCTTTAAAAATTATCATTGAAACCGGCTCTAAGAGTTCTCGATATTTTTTCAAAAATGCCAAGCTATTCTAAACAATGTTTAGGTTTTGTAGTGGACAAATTCTCTTAGCTTCGGCATACTATAAAAACCTCACGGTTACAGGCCCGGTTCTTCAAAAAGTAGATACCCGTCAGTCAAAAATTCATGGATAATCAATTTCCAAAAAAAAAAAAAAATGTTGTTATTATTTGAAACCTTCCGAGAATATTTGAGTATTTTGATCTTTGGTCAGAAACACTAAGCAATTTTATACAATGTTTTTGGGTTTGCAAGTCACAAATTGTCCGAGCTTTGAGTAACTCATGGGCGCGGTTTTTCAAAAAACTATTTACCCGGCAGTCAGAAATTCTTTCCGTTTTTCCACCAAAATTTCCGTTGGTACCTGCTGAGAATGCTCGACAATACCATGGGATTTCCGAACTTATCAAGCCTCTACACTGAATCGTTCACTTTGCCTCGGCATGGAAGTGTCATATCACGTGACTTAATTTGTTATGCCACGAGGTGTTCCTGTTGCTGTGTTTATGCCGTCCGCCATATTGGACGTGCCAGTTGAACTTACTGACAAGCTGATAATTATAAAGCGCATTAAGCATACTTCAAGGTATCCTGTACAGTTGTAGACACATCACAGGAAGTACATAACACGAAATCCTGCCACAGGTTGCGTGACATTGTTGATACCTACTGAGTGACAGCGGAATTTGCGGTTCTTAGAACTGTTGGCTAAGCTATTAAATCAAAGCAGCTTACTCAATATTCGACGTCCAGTTTTTTTTTAAGTGTGTTTATAATAGATATGAATTTAAAAAATAAAATGTTCATAATAGTCAAGTACTAGCAGGAGCCATAATCGGGGACGGAGACCGTAAGCGCGCGCCATTTCAAGTATTAGGGTTGTCCCCATGATATGGGACAATAATTCTATTTTTAGAACAAATTGCGCCATCA